TGTGTTGATGTCACTGCATTCATCATTGTTGTTAAATTCGTTGCTGTTCTGTTTGTTGTTCTTGACAACATCATTGTGTTGTTCTTACACTAATCCCTAATGTCAATATTATATATTCATATTACAAGATCCTTGAATATTTCTGTTTTCACTTACTGCAGTATTCCATATTCTGCGAGCTCAGATATTCCAACAGCTTGTCGTGAAATTGTTTTTTCACTGCCGCCAGTCAATGACATAAAAGGTACCAACTGATTATTTTTGATTGACGGCGGTGAAAAACCAAATTTCAGTGCGCAACTCACAACTACTGAGTTTCTAGAATATGGAAAACTGCAGTAATGTTGATTTYTTAAAAATCATTTTATGAATTTCTTTTTAGGGAGAAAACATTCATTTTGACCCTGAATTATTTGGTGCTTGTAGTAGTGATGCTAAAAAACTTTGTTCTCACGTCACAGCGGGACAGGCTAAGGTAAAAATGGCTTCTCTAAGGCAATAATTACATACCTATTTTCGTTTATCGAAGTAAAAATATTTGTATTATGATCATCCAAGTGGATGTAGTCCTGAGAAGGACTGTTTGATGTGACTGACATTTCGACAACCTGAGCGGAAGTCATCTCCAGAGTCAAGTGAAGAATAAAATCAGATTGGTCATATTTATACTGCCACGACAACAATAGTCTAATTACCTGGATTTGCGTAATTGGCGGCGTATTATAATATTATAATAGGCTTATCAGAAACAATAACACTGCCCATAACACCCCCCACAACACTGAAGCAGCGATGCGCACTCATTAGACCCACTTTCATTCACCTGGGTTCAGACCATTCTATACAATACACCTATTTTCATTTTTACAAGCCAAGAAACCACATACATCTAAGCCTTTTAGTTGCTACATTAAAACGTTATGATAAATTTGGTCTGGGCTCTCTATGTGTTAAACATATTACGTCGATTAATAGTGATCTTACGATGCATAACGGAAGCATGAAAGGTCATGACGTGAGCACGTTTTTAAAAACCGTTTTTTTGTGTGTGTGCACACTGTTGTCCTTGCCTTTGCCTTCATAGATAGAAGGTGAAAAAAGCACCAATTGATGCTATCATGGCCTTTGCCTTCATAGCTAGAAGGTGAAAAAGCACCAACTGATGCTTTCATGGCCTTATGCATAACAGAGAGCAAAATGGATATGTGAAGCAGTGATTTTCTAGAGAAGATGGCAATGGCAATGGCAAGGACAACGACATGCAAAAAAATGTGCTTGTGTTATCTTCGGGCCTCATCATCCTTGCTCCTGTTTTGGATCTTAAGGTCCCTAATAAGGTTGATATTAAGGAAATATTCATCTAAGGCTATTGCAGTACTAAACCAGGTTGTAAACCAAGGTCTGATTGCTTTAATGCAAAACTAAAAGCAAAGAAATTAAAATTATCAGTGTGAGCCAACATATTTCTGATAGAAACTCTGCCAAATTCACAGGAGAGAGCCATTTCAGCCGAGTTAGTTTACACTGGAAGAAAAAATTAATGATTTAAATATGATTAGATTAGTTATGTGGCTGTTTTCTTTAAAATTATGCATTTATGAAAAATGTTTTTTGAATTTTCTTTCTGCAGGTGTTGGAGTGCCTCAAGGATAACTTTGACTCTCTTCAAGAGAAATGCCAGGAACAAAYCTTTGAACGAGAGGTTGGTGCCAATGCATAAATAGAGGCTTTGCGCTGGGATCTCCTGATGGCAGCAGTTAATCCCAAAACCAGAAAAAACAGAAACAATGGGTTGGGGTACAAATAATGACTTAAATAACCAAAGCTTATTACAAAATGCAAATCTAAATTCTGTACGAATATAAAATAAATACCCCACTCAAGAGGGTGGGAGGGTAAGGTTTCCTTGGTTATCACAGGAGGCACAATGACAGAACCCTTTTCCTCTAGAAATGGAATTCTTTCTCATGTGAATCAGATTAGACCAGATTCAGTTGTTCCTGCCTCCTGTCATGGCTGCCATCACATGATTTAATAAGAAGCCCAGAAAATGACAATAACATTTCACGTTGTTACAATGTTGTTTATTACCCACTAATAGAGATATTTAGCAAACAATTTTGGTGAAAGAGGATGGCATGGAGGCTGACAAATAGCTTTCAAAAATGACAGCTGATGTTCTCACAACATTTGGAACAAGACATTGAAAAGAGTTGTCCTCAATGTTTTGTCAATGGTCTTTTGAAAACCATTTGTCAGCTTGCACCATCCTCTTTTAAATAGTGTTGTGCTTACTAAATCTCTTTATAAAATTAGATTTCTCTTGTAATTTGGAGCCTGGACCCGGCTAGGCAATTATATTGTTGTTATGGTTGTTAGACTCAAGAGAGCTATAGGAATAACTGTTATAAATCTCATGTTTTGATTGGTTGGGAGTGCTTGCTTTTTGAGACCACACAGCACATGCATGCACTTTCAGTTGCATCATTCCTATGCAAAATAATGGTTATTGTAATTTGTATGTTATAAAAGAAAAAAAAACTTGCTTGCTGTGCTGTGTGACATTATAGAGCATTTGGGGGTTGGCAAAACACTTGAGAAGTGTCGAGAAACACTCCGCTATGCATCATGCTTCTCCTAACACTTCTCTCRTGTTCTGCCAACCCCTGCATGCTTTATAACTGCACACAGCATGTGCATGTGTTTTCTATTTCTTCCCTAATAAATTAGCATACATCCCACTGTAAGCTGTAACTTGTTAACTTTTTCCAATTTTTACATTTCAGAAAAAAGAAATGCAGATGCCTGATATTGATTTCCAGTTGGTCAAGACCTGCCAGAGAGCAATTGAGGTGAAGATTTTGTATACACCTAAAAAACATTGTAGGTCGGAGATCTGAAATCTGTAATCCAAGACCATTTGAATCAAATTGTGGACTGTGAGTGGCGAATTTAAGGAAATGAATAATTATTTTGTCTTTGTAATAATTAGTATTACACAATAAATTAATATTATCTAAATATGCGACACCTTTGAGCCATGACCTGTGCTGGGAATTGGTCTGAAATTTCAGAACTCCAACCAACAATGTTTTTTGAAATAAGTTTATTTAGTTATATTTCAAAGCTCTGCCTTGGACTGGAACTAATTGCTTGGACTTGAAATCCCGTCCAGTCCGATATTGGAGGCTTTGAAATGACTTCTCATGCTCATTAATTATTTGACTTGGAGTAGCTGGAACAAAATTAATTCAGTCACAGGACTTTACCAGGTTTCAAGTAACATCATGTGACCCAAAAATAGCCCATTGATTGGCTGGTTTACTCATGAATTATTAATGAGTATGAGAAGATATCTGTAATATTTTTCTTGTGGTAACACCAAGGTTGTGAAAAATCTCATTTTTCATTGTGACAGTCTTCAAGGCCGAATCAAGGCCAGAATCCATTGCATACTTCTCTTTGTTCAGTTAATAAGCACTAGCTGTCTTGCAAGGCAATTACCTTTTCAATGAGAAAGAAACTTCTTGAAGCCTTCTGGTAGTTTGAATGATGTCATCATGCAAAATGCCTGTTGGATTGGCTTTCAAAGAAATGCAAAATACACCAGCTTCAGATTGTTAGCTTAACGTTCAATAGTTCAAATTATGTTTGTTTGTCATTTTGTGCAGCACTTCTGTTCTGATGTGGAACCAAATGAGCTCTTGAAATGCTTGAAGGAGCACAAACATGAACCAAAGATGGATCCCAAGTTAGTTGTTATTCCCTTTTATAATTTATTCATTTATTCTGTCCCCATTCATCCATCTACTTTCCTTCTCATTCATCTATTCATCCTATCCTATCCTATCCTATCCCAAGAATTCATCCATCCATCTACCAGATACTTCTCAATAAACATTTCCATTTATTCCATTCATCCCATCCCATCCCATCCCATCCCTCTCTATACACATTTCCAATCAATCCATTTATCCTATCTCATCCCAAGAGTTCATCCATCCATCTACCATCCTTAATAAACATTTCCTTTCAACCCATTAACTTCTATCCTATCCCAAGAATTCATCCATCCATCTACCATCCTTCTCTATAAACATTTCCCTTCAATCTATTCATCCCATCCATCCATTTATTTATTTATTCACTCCAACCATTCCATTCATTTTTCTTTCCCATCTCATTAACCCTTCCCAACAATCCATTCATTCTATCCCATTGGTTCATCTCATTAGTCCATCCTTTTTTTGTACAAAATCTGAAACAAGTTAAAAGACAATAAATCACTTTTAACAGAATCATAATTGTTCTTGTTCAGATGTCGTAGCATGGTGACAAAGAGACAAAAGACACAATACAGAGGTATGTGATTAATGATGGTAATATCTATTATCTATCAGTTTTCTCTGTAATCACAGAGTGGGACAATCATGAATGGAACCCTCAGAACCATGCTAGGTGAAAGCCCAAGATCGAATTAGAATTTAGAAGTTGGTTTTTGGGAAGGGAGGAAACCGGAGAACCCGGAGAAAAACCCTTGAAGCACAGGAGAGAACCAACAAACAACTCAACTCACATACAACACCGAGCTCTTAGGGACTCAAACCCGGGTCGCATTGATGAGAGGTGAAGACTCTCACCACTACGCCACCTGTGCTTCCCAAATAGAATTTAGTGGAATACAATTTGGTCTTTAAATTATACAAGTGATTACAAAATCCCATGACCACATAGTGCAATTTAAAGTAATAGTGCAATTGAATAATAATGATAATGGGAGGTTCTCATATAGTGCATTTATACATGGTCTCAATACATTTTACATTTTTATGACTAGTGGAGGACTTTACAGGCTGCGTATTAGTCAACTAAAAGCCAGCGTGAACCGTTGGTGGATCACTCTGTTTTTGACTGCATCATTCCCTTTGCTTGGTCCACTGATGTTCCAAAGTCCTCCTTAAAACAGCCCCATGACACAATAAGTTCTGCAATTCCAGAAAGGCTAATAAAAATCCAGCATGTGTTGACTTTAAGTAGCAATTTTGATGTTTGATTTTGCTAGATGATCAACTAGACCCAGAGTTACAAGGAGCCTGTAAGAGAGACATGAAAAAGTTCTGCAAAGGTGTTGATAAACATGGCGATGGTCAGATGGTTGGCTGCCTTAAGAAGCACATCGATGTAAGTTGATATCTTTAGTTCTCCAATTTTTTAGAATTTTAATTGCCCTATTTCACTATGACGTCACTGCTTGTTTATGTGGGGGATAGAATCATCAAATCCAATAGAAAATTCAACAAAATTTGCTCCTAGCGAAACAGTTTAATCAAAAATGGCCTGGTTTTCAGATATAATATGTGTTAATATGTACTAAAAAATATTCTGAGCGTTTGCTGGCTATTCTACTTCTCTTCATGGATTGATACGTGTTTAGAACAATTTTCGGTGAATTTGCATTGATTTGACCCCCTCTGATGACCATGATCCTTTGCGTTTAAACAATAGATTGTTTTGGTGTGACGTCATAGTGAAATAGGCCAATTGGCTGATTTTTTTTTTGTGCAATGTAATTGGTCTGACAGTGCCATGACTTTGGCGTGACTATGTTCGCACTGTGTTTATGCCATGTTCCGGGTATTTGATTGAATAGAGAGTAAATTCTAATGCAATGTGTTTGCCTGGCTTTCTCCCCCATGTTGTGTCAACTCCATGTTCATGCTGTGAGCTTTTCAGATTTAAACTGCTCTATAGAGGATATTACATGGCAGCGTGGAGATACAGATTTTATCTTTGAGTGTTGAGGTGATATCTTACTAGTGAGAGCAGAGAACAAGTAAGATATTCTCAACTCAAGAATGTAAAATCCATATCTCCATTGTAATCGTTCACTTGTTTACAAATGAAGATATAATATAAAATAAAAAATACAAATACAAATACAAATACAAACAACTCACAAAACAAACTTGACTCAGTGGTGACTAACAGCACCATAGCAATGCATTCAACCCATAGCCACAACACATCAAACAAACTCTAAGTATTCCTATAATGTTCCCAGAAATCAAACAAGTGACTCGTCTCAGTAAAAAAAGGTTGAAGTTTTACCATTAAATCATGGCCATAAAGATAGACTTTTGCTTAGACCCCTTGGACTGAGTCTAGAGGGGAATTGTTCTGGGGGACAAAACAATGGATTTTTTTTCCATAAGAAAAGATGCCCTATTATTGTGTCCCCCAGAACAATTTCTCTAGGAAATCAATGCAAGGGGTCTATTCACTGTATGGAGTTCAAGAAAAAATCTATTCCTTCAGGGACTGTGAGATCGATTATTTACAATTTGGTTTGTTTTGTTTTGTTTTGTAGAGACTTTCTGAAGACTGTGAAGCTTACATCCGCTCTGTTATGCACGAGGAAGCTTTGGACTATCGCCTTGATCCTGTTCTTTCCAGAGTCTGCCAAAAAGAGGTACTTGTTGCGTCTCTTTGTTAACATTCTTTTTATCTATAATGTATATATAATGTAATATTCAAACAATTTCCTAAGATACTGGACTGAAAAATTTTTTTCTTATTTTCATTCTTCTCTTTCAATAATTATTATTACATTGTCCCTTCTTTTCAAAATGCTTAGATTTCTTTCATCATATCATTCCCATTTTCTTTTCCCATTCTCTAAGTAAATTAAAATTTTTTTTTTCAAAAGTCAATACATTTTCTGTAACACCAAACTTCTTGATGTTCTGTATGCACAAAATTAACTCAGAATAAACTGATAATCAGTATTGTACAGCTAAAAGCAGTGTACATTCAGGCCCCGTCCACACGTATCTGGAAATTATTTTTTGTGGATACGAAAATGTTTGCGTCCACACACAGCACATTCGAATCGTTTTCACCATCCACACGTATCTGTTTTCCTAAAATTTGCGGATACGGACACAAAAATTTGCGGACACGTGTGGATGCAACCCATATCCGTAAAAAAAATATTTGTGGATAAAAAAATTTCCGGATATGTGTGGACGGGGCCTCAATTGAAGAAYGTTTTTACTTTGGTAAGGGCTATAGGAAAATAGATAATTTCTTATTTTCCTCAGTCTTTTGTTAGTGTTACCTGGGCTCATTTCAAATGCTGAACTTCACATGAGCTGAACCTAATGACACCAAAGAAGACCACCTTAGCTTGTTATCCATTGTTTCAATTAGGTTTGGTTCATGTGAAGTTTGGTTTATCTGACTTATTAACAAATCTTGTCTTCAGGTTGGATTGCTTTGCGACAACATTGAACCAGGCAAAGGCAAAGTAGAGGAATGCTTGAGAGACAATCTGAGGAAAATAACAAATAATAAATGCTATGTGGTGAGTAGACATGATGTTCAGTTGATGATTATTAGTTTCAAAGCAATCTTAATAGAATAATGATATGTCAGTAATGGATAATGAAACTAAAGCGTGGTTTTCACTAGCGACATAAGCATAAGCATAAACACAGACATAAGCGTATCAAGCCCACTCACTTCTCTGTTGACGTCCTCACTGTGACATAAGCATAAGCATAGGCACAAGAATCAAAGCAATCCCCTTCCTTTTATGCTTCTGCTTGTGCTTATGCTTATGCTTATGTCATAGTGAAAACCACGCTTAATGGAATAGATATAGGGAACTCGGAAAACTTTTTGAGCCCCAGATGGGAATTAAACCCAAATATCGTTATTCAAGTTTAAAAATAAGAAACTGGTCATTATTTAGAGGCGAGGGGGGTGCTTAGAGGGGAGGGGGTTGCTTAGAGAGGAGAGGGTGCTTAGAGGGGAAGGGGGTGCTTATAGAGGAGGGGGTGCTTAGAGAGGAGAGGTGCAGGTGCTGGTGCAATTTTATGCAGGACGAGATCAGGGGGCCATATATATCTATGCAACTAAAAGTGTGTGTGTTTGTAGGCTTGTATTTAGCTTGGGGGGG